TGAAACCAATAGATGATGGGCTCCCCATTACACTGGAATTAAAAGTATTTAACCCTGCTCAGATTAATTGCCAAGAGGAATCGGGCTTTCAGTTTTCACGATGGTGTAATGATAGTTTGTGTTACTTACCATTTTGCTGCAGGACTCCAGTTCCAGTGTTAAAACATTAGTACATCTCGATGGGTCTTTACCTGACACTAACAGAGGAAGCACTGTCATCTGCATACAGTTAGGAGTTTGCACTTGACACTGCTAGGCATGTCATGACATAACATAAGAATAAATAAGGGACCTGATACTACTTTGTGGTAACTCCACATGCTATCGGCAGGGGCTTGATTCCGTTTTGTTGATTTTGATATTTGTCTCTGTTGCTAAGGTAGGACTTAAGGGGGCTGTTAGGGGCAATTTGCCGCGCGCGGATCACCGAAAATCGAAAAAATATGGATATTGAGATAATATTACTGAAAAAGCTCATACTCTTTGGCATCCACAATGGTTAACCGAAATGATGTTCTACGACGTTTCTTACAAGAAATTATAGTCATTTATATCAGGTATGGTTGACGGGCCGATGTTGGTACGAGTATGCTCTCGGCCTATATATTTTTGGAGTTAGTTTCTTGTTTTTATCGCCTTTTCTTGCATTATTCTTTCTAATATATAATGGACCTATTTGCATTCATAAAAATAGTAGGCGGGGGGACTTATCCCGGAGGGACATAGTGCCTGCCGGGGGAACCAGATGGGGAAAACGCTCGGCAGTGTTCACCGCTCAGGTGCCAGCCAGGATCACCCATTATTACGCTGTATTTCAGCTTATATTCAATTTCCGGCTTATTTGTCTATCTGTAATTGATCTATATGATATAATAAACACTATCTAATACATACAAAACATGTTATATAGCTCTAGGCTGAATAAAATTAGGCCATATTATGTCGAAAGGATTTCGGGAATATTCGATTTTAACTATTGAAGCTACTCTCTCCATGGTCCATTCTTTAGTCTCCATCAGATTTAATAGGGAGAGGTATCGGTTTGAGCAAGATCTTCTAAAGCCCGATTGATAAGGTTGGAGAATGTTGTTGTTCATTTAAGGTACTTAAACTACTTGAGAGTACACCGCCCTCTCTAGATTTTGGGATGTGTACTATCAATACTGAGTTTCCTCCCCCCTCTCTCCCCTCCCCGCCCGCACCCACACTCGCTTAGCCACGTACATCAGCCTACTATTTTTCTTGAAGGATAGGAGTAACTCTGGCTCCTTGAAACCCCTCCGGTACGGTATTAGTGGTTGGATTCGACAGATTGATTATGTGAGCAATAAGAATAGGACAGTTCAGGGGGGAAGCACCATTTTTATGAACTTAGACGGGTGTAATCCGGGCCTGTGCTCATAGTTGGGTTTTAACCTGCTTAGTTCTTTTTGAATAAAGTCATGAGATACACTTACTAGTTGACAACTGTTTGGGGTTACCCCTTTATTGGTTAATAGGTATTGTTTGAAACTTATCAGGTCTGTGTTTAAAGGATATTTGATGCAGCTGGTAGTTACTTACTAATATTGATGAAACAGTTGTGTTGTAGGAATTAAAACCAATTTGCAACTTAGAGAGGTATAGTGGCATTACCTCGTTATCAATATGTGAGTACTAGTTAGACCTATCTACTGGCTATGGCAATACCCCAACTGTTTTAGTTGTTGCAGTGCTTTCTGGGGATATGCTTATACTCTTCAATTTTTGAGCATTTAGTGCTCCTTTTATTGTCTCTGCACTCTGTTCTTCACCATTGGAATTCATTTAGTGCTGCAATATCCTGTCTGTTTGCTTTAATCTTTTTAGCAGCTCGTCTTGTATTTATATTATCTAAATATCTCAGTAGTCATACAGGGTTCAGTTCTTCGTTTAATCCTAACCTCTCTTATCTGGTTGCAATATTAATAAGGATAACGGTGAAACTTGTTTTGAATTTTTCCAGGCATCGTTTAAGGTCCATGCAACTTGTTATCAGACTGTCCAGTCACATTCTGGTTGTCAGCTAATTTCCTGGTTTCTTTACTGTAGTTTCTAGTTGACCTAATTTATTGTCGCTGTGTAGGCCTATCCTATCCATAGTGATTGTCTCCTGGTGCAGTAAATGATGAAATGATACATAAGTCTGTTGGTAATGATGCCTGACTGACTAATGTTTCTCAGAGCGGTTAATAAGTATGTGGACAGTTAGGGTGGCTGAGAATGTGTGATCCGGAGGTTGGTTGTATTAATTAGTTGAGTGTAATCTATTTTAAACCTAGGAAAGAATTTGCTTATACCTTTTGCATTAGCCGTTTATTTTGCTGCTGAAAACAGATTATTGAAGGTCGCCCAGTAAGTATTGTCTCGCAATTGTTTTCAACTCCGGTCAAGACTCTGGAAAAAAGTCTCCTAAGAACTGGTCCTGGGTTGGGAGAGGGCGGTAACTAGTTCCTATAAGATGGGTTTGGTCTTGGGAAGCAGCCTCTTCAAACCATTTAGACTCTCAGTTTATTGTTTATTTAAATCAGGTCTTGGGTTGTAAGAGTCTATAGTATTTCTAATGCAGGCAAATACTCCACCACCCTTTCTGTTCCTATTCTATGCGTTTTATATTGTAACTTCTATTTTGACCTCGTCGTCAGTACCGTATTTATTTTCCTTACCAAGGAGATTCAGAGATGGTTATAACTGCCGCCCTAATTTTGTTAGTAGATCCTAATCTCTGCAATTAAGGAAGAGTGATCTTTCGTTGACATGAATAAAGTGAAGCGGCCTGTTTCATAAAAAAATTATAATCATCAGTATATGGCAGTGGGTCTTATGTATTAAAATTAGGAAATCATTGTATTGCTAAAGGGTAACTGTGCCAAAGTGTTTGGTAAACACAAAGTGAGTTCTGGCACCGTTACTATAATTGTACATACTCCATCATGCACCACCCCTTACACATTTACATAAGGGGCCTTTTTGTTTTTCATGCGTACGTTAGTACAGTGTGTAAGCACTGTTGGTTAGTGTGTGTTTTGAGATATGTATGGCTGTTATTGTTCTAATTGGCTATGTATGCATTAATATGGAGTTCAAGGGTATCATTCCTAGCTAACTAGAACTTACTTATTTACGTCATTTATCTGTCTGTTTTGCCTCTGCACAGTAGTTTGAGGTCCTGGATTGATTGGGATATTACCACTTTAGGAGCGCTACAATAAGAGCTGTTGTGTGCCACTGTTTTTTGTTTGGGATTATGCGGTGGTGCAATACCTTGCGGCGATAGTGTACATATACTTTGTTGGTAGGATGGCTAACTGTTGGGCTTTTACTTCCAGGGCGCTATACTCCATTCACCTTTTCAGGCCCCCATGACTGATTTCTTCTTCCATGGAATTGAAGGAGAAAAGATAAATATAATTATGGCAGCCTGTACCCCCCTAATGCCTGCCATTTTCACTCTTCGCTTTTTTTACTATTACATAATATTATTTCTCTTTTCCAGCTACCTAGTACATTGTATCTGTTTTAGCAATCACCACTGAATTACTAGTAAATTTTCTTCTTAAAAACCCCTTTTCACTGCTCATTTTCCCTTAACTTCACAAACCCCTTTCAGTTAACCCCTTATTACACACTCCCCTTCCCGCCTACTTCACTGTCTGGTTTCACCTATTAACTTCTAACTCCTTTCCATTCTGGTAGACCAGAAAGATTTAATCAAGGGTTTTTTATCCTTCCAAATCCCCTCAATTCCATTTATCGGGGTTGTGTCGTGTTGTTGACTGCCTGACTGGTCTGCTGACTCAGCCATTTTTAAAACATGAGGGCAGTAAACGCCCCCTACAACCTGATTTTCCTTGAGTTTATAGATATATTTGGCGTTTCGCTTTTCTTCACTGTACACTGGTCAGCTGAAAATAGGTCAGCTACTAAAAAAAATTAACCTGACTTTTTAAAACTATTCACTTCTTTCACGACTGGCACTGAGGGATAACCGACCTATAACCTTGGAGTTTTGTATTGTTGATTTGATGATGTCTCCTGTGTTTCCCTCTCGTTAACCCCGGGTACAGGTGATATGTGGTGGTACAGATAGATGCTACTGTCAGTACATGAACGTCAGTAAAGATGAGAATTTCACTTTTGTAGTTGAAACATCTGGCAGTAGCTGGTGTTTGGATGCCGGTCAGCCATGTTTAAATGCTGAATTTTTTTCTCGTTTTGGCCCACTGATCGAAAAAAGCCCAACAGACCTGTTTCCTTGGAGTTTTGTTGATCGGGGTTTTCTCCCATGTTGTCTTCCCCGTTGAACATGGTGCAGTTGATATGGGGGGTCAGTTATTTTCAAAGTAGTGGGAAAACGTCTCATGTGGGGTTTTCCTTTTGGCAGAAAGGTCTGGTACTTGAATGCCGGTCCCTCTTTTGTCATATTTAGTCCATTTCGTTGTCGTCACCGTAGTTTTCAAGTCACTATAGGTTCCTTGCATGTTGTTGCAGCAGTACTTGCAATTTGGCCATCACTGGAGCTCGGATGGCCCAGGGGACGGCAAGATATAGGACCCGCCTTGTTTGCTGCTTGCGTGGCTGCAGCCGCAGACTAGCTGCCCAGATGTGTTACATATTATGTCTGTTGAAACCCAGATGTGTTACATAATTATGTCTGTTGAAGCCTAGATGGGTTACATAATTATGTCTGTTGAAGCCTAGATGTGTTAAAATAATTATGTCTGTTGAAGCCTAGATGTGTTACATAATTATGTCTGTTGAAGCCTAGATGTGTTACATAATTATGTCTGTTGAAGCCTAGATGTGTTACATAATTATGTCTGTTGAAGCCTAGATGTGTTACATAATTATGTCTGTTGAAGCCTAGATGTGTTACATAATTATGTCTGTTGAAGCCTAGATGTGTTACATAATTATGTCTGTTGAAGCCTAGATGTGTTACATAATTATGTCTGTTGAAGCCTAGATGTGTTATGTTGCAGGCTCACCACAGCCCAGCCGTGGGGAACGTCCGTGTTGAAGACGACATAGAGTCTGTGACAGTCTCAGCCAGGAACCAGATAGAGGAGGATGAACCAGTGTTTGCCTTCGGTGCCACCAACCTGCTGCAGCACCTCTGCCTAGCACTGGCCTCTCCTGCTCTCGTCAGACTCCCCGCCCTCGCTTATAAATGGAGCAGTGACGAAGGATGTAAGTTGACAATTTAAAAATTTTTTTTTCATGTATCTGTGGAATTCGAACTCTTATTAGAACTGTGATTAGAACTATAATTTCAAACTCTTACACTAGGATGCGAACTGAGCAGACCTGAGGTGGACTATCATTAAAATTCAACAAACAAAGATTTAGAGTTTGCCACCGAAGTGGCTAGTTTATTGTGCGCCCCATATCCATCCTGTGGACGGTAGCGCATTGCATATGGATGCACAAAAGGCCTAGGAACTAGGCCCCAAAGGGTTAACAGGAGTATATATGGATTTATATCTACATATCTACAGTTCACTTATCTGTTACAAGCAAATTTAGGTAATTTGTTTAGTATATCTGGTATCTTATTTTCATTAATATATTGTCTAGCTCTGTAGTCCTCAATAAGTGGACAATTAAGCACATAGTGTTCAAGACGGTGACCATATGTCTGATCACATAATTTACATTTAGTTTGATCATCATCTGTGTGTCTCCCAAACTGCCAGAAGTACTTGTAACCAAGCCTAAGCCTGGCCACTACAACATCAGTCAGTCTGTTCACATTGCAAGTTGCTCCATAAACATACTTATCTACGTTCATGTTATCATAGTGGGTTATAGATCTACTCAGGCTTCTAACTGCATTCCTATAACAATCATTTTCATTATTTACTTCTCTCCTAATATTATTCCTAATGCTAGACACAGATATACCAAAGTTATATTCTACATTCTCCTTCTGGGTACTTTTCTTGGCTAACATATCAACTTTATCATGAAGGAGTAATCCAATGGTGATGGGATCCATAGCAACTGTACAGTAATTTCCTTTGTCCCGGATTTTTTAGTATCTATACCTGGCTTCTCTAATGAGCATGTTGTTGGAGTCATTATATGAGTTAAGAGCATTCAGTGATGACATAGAATCAGTAATGATGATAGTCAAGCTCAGCGCCATTAGGATTGCAAACAATTCAGTTTACAGTGTAGACGCCCAGTTGTTAATTCTTATGCTTAACGCAACAAATTTATTATCGTTCTTAACTAGGGAGGTGGCAACAAGAGCAGATGCAGCCCTGCCAGAAGACTCCTGTTTAGATCAATCAGTGTATATAACTTGTGATAACTTATTACTACCAGCTAGGCGAGAAATTTCTTCTTGAGCAGTTGCTTTAACAAGTGATTTAAGGAAGGGATTACTAGCAATGAGCTTCTTGGGAGGGACTTGCAGGTATGTGATATTAAATGAACACATCTTCCATGGAGGGGTGAAATGCTCTTGTTGCCTACAGTGATACAGTTCACGCAGGTTATAAAACTTAATGCAATTCCACGTTTTCACAATCCATTTAGATCTGTGTGTATTTACTTCGAGACACTTAGTAAGATTCATTGTGACAGTGTCTGGTTCATTTCTTAATATTCTAATACCGAGTACAGTGTTAATCTCAACAATCCTATCACTGATACTAGAAATACCAAGCTCCTTCCTCATATTAAGAACGAAGTTTTATATTCATGACTGTAATGCTAATTTTGTATTACGGTATCTTAGTTTGTAGCTAATAAGTTGACTTTGTGATGATTTGCATATGTTGTGAACACCTGCAGCTGGATTCTTCACTGCATACGCTGTATTGATGATCGTATTGGGCGTCCCTTTGTGTTTCCTGGAGCAGACCTTGGCTCAGTTCTCCTCACTCGGTGTCATCACGATCTTCAGGTGCCTCCCGCTCTTCACAGGTCAGTCTCTCTCCTCCTCCTAGGTCACTACTGCCTTATTATTATCTGCTCAGCTACCGGTCAAGATGATCTTCCTCGCGTTCTCTCGTGTTTCACTTAGTGTCTTTGTGGGAGTTCTACATCGGCGCTGTATACTCAATGATGGGTAACAAGTGGTTAGAGCGAGTTACATATTGGGAACAAATATACATAAGAAAAACAAGGAGGGAGGGGGAGAATGTGGATTACGTTATATAGATCAGTATGCATACAGATGCACTCCAGATTTATAGTTGTAATAGCGTTTCAAACTACAAAACAACTTGCAGGGACTAAATTCGTTTTTTCACTAGCATGCGACAGTCAGCCTGAACGTCACTAACAAAACCATCACTTTTAAATTAAAAAAATATCAAAAGAAAGTAATTAACCAACGATAGGTTGGGGGAGCTAACGGGGGTACATTTTTTACTGCAACTAAATTTTAACTTTGGAGATTTAGTGCTCATTCTTGCGCCCCCCACCTGCACTCGGTTAACTGGGCATCTTTCTGGATCCAGGGGGCCCCCCCAACTTTTTTATAACTAATAGAGTGTTGGGTACCATTCCTTTTCCACTTTAATTTTAATTGCCCCCTTTCTCATACATTGACTTCTAGTTTCTTTTTTATATCCCCCCATTCCATTTTCTTCCAAAACAAGTTGTGATACCCATATTATCTGTGTGTACTTAACACCATGTTCCCCCGGGGGTCTGGGCCTTTTAGTGATTAAAATCTAACTCTCTTCATGTCTTATAGTTATGAAACAGAGTAAAACAACTGAACTAAATCTGTTTATAAAATTGCTCACAAAATGCCAGAATATCTTCTGTCAATTTTGCAAGGTTGGGAACCAAGCAATCATAGTACTAGGGGAGAGAGCACAATTTTTGTAGACCCACAGCCCTTTGGGCCGGGCCCTTCAAACACCTTTTTTTGTACAGCAAAAAAGGGAAGGGAAACCCGACTCCCCGCACATGTAAAAAGCCATCATAGCATGAACCAGTTCAAAGTGCCAAAAGGTGTCTGAAAAAATTGAACTACAGAAAGGGGGGGGGAATGATTTTTTTTTTTTTTTATCTAACATACTGAAAATTTTTCCCCTTAATTCCTAGAATGACCCTCGAAATTGTAGATAGTCTTAAGGCCCTCGTGTATAATAGTTTAAAAGACCTCGTGTAGTAGTTACCCCTTTTTAGTAAAATAAAAATTTTTATTTTTCATTAAAAGAAAATTTAAAAAAAATATTAAAAAACCTTTATATTAAATAAAAAGGGAAAAGGACCCCAATGGAAATAATCACTCTGCTGATTTTGGGTTTTCCAGGTTCTCTACACATATGCTGTTTTGATGATAATTTTATGTAATTGTATTTGTGTAAAACCTGAATAAACTTACTTACTTACTTACTTACTTATGACAAAAGTCTTGTAGCAAACCTCTGAACTTCTCGAGTGAAACTGAGCACTCGAACACTGATCCTACACATGCAGTGTTTACCTAGAGTTTACCTGGAGAAGGTTTCGGGGCCGTCTCAGACCAGGCCTCATGGTGGATCAGGGTCTGATCAACCAGGCTGTTACCGCTGGCCACATGAAGGCTGACATACGAACCACAGCCCGGTTGGTCAGGTACTGACTTTAGGTGCCTGTCCAGTGCCTTCTTGAAAACTATTGGTAATCCCCCTTATGTATGCTGGGAGGCAATTAAAAAGTCTTGGGCCCCGGACACTTATTGTATTTTCCCTCAGTGTACCCGTAGCGCCCCTGCTTTTCATCGGGGGAATGTTGCATCTCCTGCCGAGTCTTTTGCTTTCATAGGGAGTGATTTTCGTGTGCAGGTTTAGTACCAATCCCTCCAGGACCTTCCAAGAGTATATTATCATGTATCTCTCTCGCCTGCATTCGAGGGAATACAGAACAAGGACCTTCAACCATTCCCAGCAGTTCAGGTGCCTTACCGTACTTATGTGTGCCGTGAAAGTTCTTTGTACACTCTTCAGGACTACAATGTCGCCAGCCTTGAAGGGGGCAGTTAGTGTACAGCAGTATTCCAGCCTAGAGACCACAAGCGCTTTGAAGAGAATCATCATGGGTTTAGTGTCCCCAGTTTTGAAGGTTCTCATTATCCATCCTACCATTTTCCTAGCAGATGAGATAGATACATTGTTGTGGTCTTTGAAGGCGAGATCCTCTGACATTGTCACTCCCAGGTCCTTCACATTACTTTTCTGCTCTATTGTATGGTTAGAATTTGTTGTATACCGTGACACATTTTTAATTTCTTCAAGTTTCTCATATCTGAGTAGTTGAAATTTCTCCTCGTTGAACTTCATATTGTTTTGAGTGGCCCATTCGAAGATTTGGTTGATGTCCGCTTGGAGTCTCGCGGTGTCTTCGATGCAGGTCACTGCCATGGTAATCCGGGTGTCATCCGCAAAGGAAGACACGAAGCTATGACTTACATCTCTTTGTCAGAAATGAGGATGAGGAATAGAATGGGAGCAAGTACTGTGCCTTGTGGAACAGAGCTTTTTACCGTGGCTGCCTGGGACTTTACTCTGTTTACTATTACTCTTTGTGTTCTATTTGTCAGGAAGTTGTAGATCCATCTACCAACTTTTCCCGTTATTCCTTTATCACGCATTTTGTGTGCTATTACACCATGGTCACACTTGTTGAAAACTTTTGCAAAGTCTGTGTACACTACATTTGTATTTTGTTTATCCTCTACAGCATCCAGGACCTTGTCATAGTGGTCCAGTAGCTGGGACAGGCAGGAGCGACCTGCTCTAAACCTATGTTGCCCTGGGTTGTGTAAACTGATGGGTTTAGAACAGGTCGCTCCTGTCTGTCTCAACTATTGGATCACTACGACAAGGTCCTAGATGCACTAGAAGACAAAAAGAATGCAGATGTAATATATACAGACTTTGCAAAAGCCTTCGACAAGTGTGACCATGGCGTAATAGCGCACAAAATGCGTGCTAAAGGAATAACAGGAAAAATCGGTCGATGGATCTATAATTTCCTCACTAACAGAACACAGAGAGTAGTCGTCAACAGAGTAAAGTCCGAGGCAGCTACGGTGAAAAGCTCTGTTCCACAAGGCACAGTACTTGCTCCCATCTTGTTCCTCATCCTCATATCTGACGTAGACAAGAATGTCAGCCACAGCACCGTGTCTTCCTTTGCAGATGACACCCGAATCTGTATGACAGTGTCTTCCATTGCAGACACTGCAAGGCTCCAGGCGGACATCAACCAAATCTTTTAGTGGGCTGCAGAAAACAATGTGAAGTTTAACGATGAGAAATTTCAATTACTCAGATATGGCAAACACGAGGAAATTAAATCTTCATCAGAGTACAAAACAAATTCTGGCCACAAAATAGAGCGAAACACCAACGTCAAAGACCTGGGAGTGATCATGTCGGAGGATCTCACCTTCAAGGACCATAACATTGTATCAATCGCATCTGCTAGAAAAATGACTGGATGGATAATGAGAACCTTCAAAACGAGGGATGCCAAGCCCATGATGACACTCTTCAGGTCACTTGTTCTATCTAAGCTGGAATATTGCTGCACACTAACAGCACCTTTCAAGGCAGGTGAAATTGCTGACCTAGAAAATGTACAGAGAACCTTCACGGCGCGCATAACGGAGATAAAACACCTCAATTACTGGGAGCGCTTGAGGTTCCTGGACCTGTATTCCCTGGAACGCAGGCGGGAGAGATACATGATTATATACACCTGGAAAATTCTAGAGGGACTAGTACCGAACTTGCACACGAAAATCACTCACTACGAAAGCAAAAGACTTTGCAGACGATGCAACATCCCCCCAATGAAAAGCAGGGGTGTCACTAGCACGTTAAGAGACCATACAATAAGTGTCAGGGGCCCGAGACTGTTCAACTGCCTCCCAGCATACATAAGGGGGATTGCCAACAGACCCCTGGCAGTCTTCAAGCTGGCACTGGACAAGCACCTAAAGTCGGTTTCTGACCAGCCGAGCTGTGGCTCGTACGTTGGTTTGCGTGCAGCCAACAGTAACAGCCTGGTTGATCAGGCTCTGATCCACCAGGAGGCCTGGTCACAGACCAGGCCGCGGGAGCGTTGACCCCCGGAACTCTCTCCAGGTAAACTCCAGGTATCTAGGTGGTTATCGATCTTGCTTCTTAGAACCCTCTCAAAGATTTTTATGATATGGGATGTTAATGCTATCGGTCTGTAATTCTTTGCAATTAATTTACTGTCACCTTTGTGGAGTGGGCCTATGTCTGTTGTTTTTAGTGTGTGTGGGATGACCGCTATATCCATGCTCCCTTTCCATAGAATGCAGAAGACACGCAATAGGGGCTTCTTGCAATTCTTGATGAACACGGAGTTTCACGAGTCTGGGCCTGGGACAGAGTGCATGGGCATATCATTTATTGCCTCTTCAAAATCTTGTGGAGTTATAATAATATCCGAGATTTTTGGGATGACCAAATTTTGGGTGTCGTTCATAAAGAATTCATTTGGATTGTCGACCCTTAGTCTGGGCAGCGGTTAGCTGAACACTGAGTCGTATTGGGGCTTTAGTATCTCACTCATTTCTTGGCTCTCATCTGTGTATGTCCCATCATGCCTAAGCAGGGGCCTAATACTGGATGTTGTTTTTCCTTAGATTTGGCATAAGAGAAGAGGTTTTTTTTTTCAATTTCCTTTATGGCTTTTAGTTCTTCCTGTGATTCTTGTCTCCTATAAGATTCCTTTGGCTTAAGTTCGATATTTGCAATTTCATTGACTAGTGCCTCCCTTCGTATTTCAGACATATTGGCCCCACTCAGCAGCTCTGCGACTCTTCTCCTTCGTCTGTATAGGGAACGTCTCTCTCTTTCTAGTTTATATCTTCCCTTTCTTTTTCTTAATGGAATGTGTCTTGAGCAGATCTCAAGAACCACAGAATTCATTTTTTCATGGCAAATGATCGGATCCGTGTTGTAATAAAGTTGGTAGAATTACCGACAATATGTAAAGTAAAAGGACACAAGTGCAACTAATGTGACATTTTATTGTGGCAACGTTTCGCTCTCCAGGAGCTTTATCAAGCCATTACAAACAATACATGGACACAGAGGGTATATAAAGGCTCAGAGTGAGGTGCAATATTAGTGAGGTACCATATCGAAGTTCACTAGTGGTAGTAGTAGTAGTAGTAGTGACAAAAATAATACAGTATGGTAGAGCAATTAATTCGTACATGAGTAAAAGGATATAAAAGCTATTACTTGGGTAGCATAAAAATAGGTTGGACTACTACTACTACTACTACTACTACTACTACTACTACCACTAGTGAACATCGATATGGTACCTCACTAATATTGCACCTCACTCTGAGCCTTTATATACCCTCTGTGTCCATGTATTGTTTGTAATGGCTTGATAAAGCTCCTGGAGAGCGAAACGTTGCCACAATAAAATGTCACATTAGTTGCACTTGTGTCCTTTTACTTTACGGATCCGTGTTGTTTAGGATATCTTCCCAGCTTGTTTCATTTAGGACATGGTTTACTTGATCCCATTGTATGTTTTTTGTTGTTGAAATTGAATTTCGTGAAGAGACCTTCATGACTGCTCACATTTTGCAGGTTCAGAGCCCTGTGCATACATGTCTGTACCTCTATTATGTTGTGATCTGAGTGTATTGTCTTTGATACAGTTATATTATGTATCAGATCGTCGTTGTTAGTGAAGATGAGGTCCTGTGTATTTTCTAGTCTTGTAGGTTCTACTATTTGCTGACTTAAGGTGAATTAGGTGCAGAGATTTAATAGTTCGTGCGTGTGTGAATTTTCAGCTGAGCTGCCTCCTGGCGTGATCTCTTCTAAAACATTGTTTGCTATACTCTTCCATTTTAGGTGTCTCAGGTTGAAATCTAGTAGTAAGATGTTTGGGGCAGGAGTTGGGAGATTTTCCAGATAGTAGTCGATTTTCTCAAGCTGCTCCTGGAATTGCTGGGAAGTTGCATCTGGAGGCTTGTATACTACCACAATGACAATGTTTTGGTTTTCATTCTTTACCGCTAAAACTACATCATTTGAGCTGGTTAGTAGTTCTGTGCAAATGAGCAACTCTGTGGCATGAAGGCCAACCCCCCCTTGTTGCGTGTTTAGTCTGTCTCATCGGAATATGTTATAACGTGAGATCCATATTTCGTTGTCATAATGATCCTTTATGTGGGTCGCTGTGAATGCTGCAAACATTGCATTTGACTCCATGAGCAGTCCCTTGATGTAAGGAATTTGTTGTTTTTTGACGGTTTTAGACCCTGTATGTTTGCAAAGACAAATGTTGTATTGGTAGAATTTAGGGGGGTTTTATTTGCTGGCTATAATATCTGTTGTTCTGGAGTAGAGGCTAATGTACGTGCCTCTGCTCCAGAAGTGTTTTCAAGTGGTGTAGGATTACTGTCATTTCTTGCCAGTCTTTTTTCCCTCCTGGCCCTAATAAACCTCTGTCCCTGGAGAGGTTGTGGCTCCTCTCTTTTGTTTCCCATAGTCTGGCTGGTCTGTGTCTTCTAGTCCCCTTTAGATGATGTGCCTGGCAGTATGGATTGTAGCATTTTCTTTCATGGATTGATGAGTGACACATTTCTAGGTAAAATAAGTTACAAGAAGGGATGTTGCACTCTCCTGTTTTCATGTGGGTGCTGCATTTTCTGGGATGGTCAAAAGTGCATGTCCCAGTTGTTTCACCAGATATACTGTGCCTGCAGATACCCAAGGCATAGTATTTACATAGATTGTGATTCTGTTTGCTAAGATTTATTGTACCTACGTTCGCTGCTGGTGCATTTATTTTACCTGTTTCCTCCCCATCTTTCACCCTTGTATGGACATCAGTGCGTCCACCAGGTTTTGCTGGTAGTGTGTCGGCACTATTCCCTGAGGCATCATCCCATTTTGATCCATCTCCAGTAGTATCTCTATTTTGAACCTCTGTGGACTGAAGAACGTTGTCTTCAGTGTCCTCCAAAACAACACAAATACCCTCACAAGACTATCTTCTAAGACATCACTAGGACCCTCTGGAGCACTTTCCTCCAGGACAACACTAGCACTCTCACGAGCACTGTCCAAGACAGCCCCGTCCCTACCACCCATCTTTTTTTCCCAGATGTCATACCATGCTGACATATCTTTCAAGAAAGATGTTTTATTGGTGTTCTTATCTTTTAATATAGATGTCATTTCCTCATACAGGTGTATCTCGTTTGGGCAGACCCAAATATATCTCTCTGAGTTTATGGCAAGTGTGGTCACTGGTTTAAAGTCCCTGCATATACCATGGGATCACTGACCACAGAGATGGCAAGCAATCCAGGCCTGTTTTCGTCCCTTACCCTTTCTGCAGACTACACAGATCTTCATGGTGGTGGTCATCTTACAATACTTGAGAACTCTACTAGTTAGTTAGTCTATAATTCCCTGAAGTATTTAATTTTTTTGTAACAGTTCTTCTGATCTAGCTTTATTTCCAACAAAACCGTTTGAATTCACCCGAATCCAGCGAATTCGGACAAATCCAGTTAGTGGATCACTCTATATCTTTTTTCTAATGATCACCTTAACGGTAGATCTGTCTATCTGTATTGTAACTATTTGTTGTAGTTACTGTTTGAGTGTTTGATAAGGGCACTTAGACCCCCGTCAGTTAGTGAAACCAGTCAGAGTATACCATGTTATCAACGAATCTGTTTGAATCCAGTCGTTGGATGAATCCGGGCAGATCTGGATTAGGCTCACTGGGTGATTTTGGACTAGCTCATGAAAAGGACCACTGGAAAGAAATTAAACAGAGTAATATGTGTTCAGTTTGACACAGAAAGTATAACTTGCGTGTTTGGGCGCCATTGGCTTCAGTATATGAAGATTACTGGAGGAATAATGATTTTCGTTGTGTATATTGCGACTGCTGCTAACTACAGGTTTACCGCACACTGTATACGTCACTCCATCACAATAAATACTAACAACTATACACTGTTTATCATATTTCTACAAAACTGTGCACTTTCCGTATTTCCTCGAGATTTTGAACCTCTTCGTATTTCAACAGGAATGTTTTACTCCCTGGTATCATTAATTATAGGTCAGGTACACTAGCAGACCTGTGTGGGAGGTTCTGACGACTGCTGGCAACTGTTTACAACATGAACCTGCCTCTTTGGGCCTAACACTTCAGTTTTAAATTTCACCCTATCATTTATTATCCATATACCAGGGTACACTGTGGTACACACTACAACACTATGTATACACCCTATTATCAGGGAGATTGTCTTTCCTCTGACAAAAAAATCACTCACTACGAAAGCAAAAGACTTGGCAGACGATGCAACATTCCCCCAATGAAAAGCAGGGGTGTCACTAGCACGTTAAGAGACCATACAATAAGTGTCAGGGGCCCGAGACTGTTCAACTGCCTCCCAGCACACATAAGGGGGATTACCAACAGACCCCTGGCAGTCTTCAAGCTGGCACTGGACAAGCACCTAAAGTCAGCTCCTGATCAGCCGGGCTGTGGCTCGTACGTTGGTTTGCGTGCAGCCAGCAGCAACAGCCTGGTTGATCAGGCTCTGATCCACCAGGAGGCCTGGTCACAGACCGGGCCGCGGGGGCGTTGACCCCCGGAACTCTCTCTAGGTAAACTCCAGGTAAACCGGGACGCTAGGCCTAAAATTCCCCTCTGAGAGTATGGTTATGCTTTGTTATTGTACACTGATTCTCTTTTTTTGACTCAGTACATATTATTTTTTTGCAATGACACCACATTAAAATTCTAGAAAATGTTTATAATATTTGCCAGCTCTGCATACGCTGCGGATGTTATTCTCTTTGAGTGAGACGCTCACAAAATTGGTTTGCCGGGGATGAATTCCATTAGCAATGCCAAATCATTCCTGTAACCTGTTAGTCTTCCTGAAGCCTGTTAATGTACTCCTCCGTTTTTATTTTCATTAATTTATGTCATCCGCAAACACTGGCATACAAGAAACTTTCACGTGGTAGGTCATTTACTTATATCAGGAAGAGTATGGGCTTAATAAGTGAATCTTGTTGCTTTCACCATCTTGACACCTCTCACTGTCTCTCTGCCAGCCACTCCAGCTTAGATTACCAGCTTGTATATTTGTTTTAATGCGAGGGAAAAGTCTCAGTACCTTAGACAATCTATGAATATACAGTCCACCCATCTCTCTCTCCTCTGATATTTGCCATTATTTCATAGAATTCAATTACATTAGTCCCTCACTTCTTGCTTCTCTTGCGCAGTTCGTTATTTGTACGATCTCTTTAACTTATTAAATAATTTAGATGTCTCTTGTGCCATAGATCGTCAGTTCACTGCTTAGCTCGAGAATACCACCTTCGAGAATACTAGTGCAGGTTCATATAAAAAAATATCATTACAGGTGTGGGTGTGGGGATGGTAGCGACGTGCGTGATCCTGATGGGTTACAGCAGCACGATGCTGGCCTGGTTGGCGCGCTACATGTTCGATTGCTTGCGTCAGGAATTACCGTGGACTACCTGCCCCGACAACGAAACCAGCTGTTGGTCTGGTTCTGGACCGGTTCCCCGCCATCATCACGGCCATGATGACCAGTATTTCTACAGTCCAAATGACTTCTACTTCCTGTAAGTACCTATATTCCATCCCAGGATGACCGATTTGCATGGAAACAAGGAAGGGCTGGGTGAGGAGAGAAAGGGAGAGCGAGAGACAGAATGAGGATGAAAAGGGGAAGAGGAGTGAGTAAAGATGGAATGAAACATAAGCCTCACATTGATATAAATATAGAGCAAATGACGTACAGTTTGATGTTTAAACCTCACACTGTATGAGAAAGCTTAGCAAATAGCATCGAAACTAATAACTGCCTTTAGGAACCTTAAAGAAATGTTAATGTCGGATTATATGTAAGACGAATCATACCACGGGCAGGGTTAGAACCCGCGATCAGAGTCATAAAACTCCAGACCACGGGCAGGTTCTAACCCCGCCCGTGGCATGGTTTGTTTGCAATCGCGTCATTACGATGTCGTGAGTTATATAAGACGTATATAAAGTGTGTCACATAGTGCGACGTCAGCCAGAACAGTTTGCCACTAGACTGGTGGTTGCGCTGAGAGAGCTGACCACGAAGAAAGACTAAAGGAACTGGAAAACCTTAAAAGAAAGAAGGACCAGGAAAACATAATAACAATGTGCAAAATACTCAATTGACTTATCTGGGCGCAGAGAGACTGCATGGCGGGGATCTGGGACAAGGTGTATTAGTGGAAGTAGAAGACGTACATGAGCCACAAAGATTTCAGGTAATACTTTATGAGCCTCAGGGTAGAGAAAAAATATAACGACCAAGACGAGGATGTAATGGAGGCAGACTCTTTATACAGTTTCGAATATGGGTACGACAGGGCCCATGAGGTAAAGAATTAATGGAACCGCTTGTATGTTGTTAAGATGAAGAACCAAAAACCTAGACTAGACCCTAACATCCACGACTGGGCTACTAACCACGCTTCCGGGGATCCTGATACCCACGACTGGGCCACTAACCACGCTTCCGGGGATCCTGACACCCACGACTGGGCTACTAACCACGCTTCCGGGGATCCTGACAACCACGACTGGGCTGTCAACTACTCTTCCGGGTTAATAATCCCAATAAAATCTTCATCGTCTACTCGAGCATGTTAGTAGATGCAGAAAGACCACAAATTTTGACTGCACTCGTCAACTCCATAATTTCTAGAGTAGTTTAATTGTAGGTAACACATTCACATGAATTTACAAAAAGTGCTTTATTCAAAGCTTATATAATCTATTTAGTGTACCTCTAATATTAAAAAATTTTGTCGGGCATAATAATGATACATAACATATGCATATATTTATTTATTTATTCATTGTATTATTATTATTATTATTATTATTATTATTATTATTTTATTCGTGGGGAAACACTGTACCCGAAGGGGTAAAACCGTACATAGGGAATGAAAGGTAATCAGGTTTGGCCCGAGAAAGGGAAAGGTAACTCCAATTCCGTGAATCAACAGCTCTTTATCACCACTAACTTTACTGATTTTAATCAGGAAAAAGTGCCAAACCCATAGGGAAGGAGGTGTTGGGGTGGGTCATATAGGGCCTGGGGAAACGAGAGGCATCCAGGTTTGATCCAAGGAAGGTGAGATAAATGCAGCTCCTTGGATTAAGAGCTCTTCTCCGAAATCAAGGCACCTCCCAGGAGGGGAAACCAACATCAAGGGACCCCTGCCCTTCAAGACTTGCACTTCTCAAGGAAGTTAGTTGTCTTGATGTCAGTGGTCTCTTGATCCAAGGAACTCTACCTATTCTTCGCCCGTGTACCCCAATCCTACATGTTCCTCTAATAACGTTATTTTCTTCTAAACTATCGTATCTGAGCGCCTCTGCAAAGACAATGATTATGTATGAGTGATGGTGAAAGTGTTGAATGATGATGAAAGTATTTTCTTTTTGGGGATTTTCTTTCTTTTTGGGTCATCCTGCCTCGGTGGGAGACGGCCTTGTTAAAAAAAAACTATTAGTACTACTACTACTACTACTACTACTACTACTACTACTAATAATAATAATAATAATAATAATAATAATAATAATAATAATAATAATGACTGTATTTCAGTTGCTGTGTGATCTGAGGAAGGTATCCCCGTGTTCCATAACCCTAGTCCCTTGTGCCTTAATGCACGCGATTGGAATAGTGCAGAGTGTGGAATAAATTCATAATGCAATTAAGTATTAGCTTTGGAGGTTTAGTGATAATCAGAAGAGGAATTCACAAGCCATCAAACGGACGCTAATATCCAAAATTTCTTCAATAAAAATGGTAAATTAGGACATGCACAGACCTAATTTAATTTTAATCTTTTAGAGGACCCAAAGAGACCAGTATTCTAAAATACACATTACAGTAAACTGTCGAAATAGCGGTACCATAAATAACGGTAGATTCGAACTTACGGCACATTGAAACTATTGAAGTACAAATGGTTATAACTATGACCATAATTTTTAAAGGGGTGGACCGGTAAGCCAGCGGAAGGCCTCCGTCAGATGACCAGAAGCTCCAGCGGCGGGTCATCATCTGACTAAGACCTGACCGGCACATCGAAACTAGTGCCATTTATACAGCGCCTTTTTGTGTGGTGACAGAACATGGCAACACTTGCGAATATTTGTTTCAATCCGCCATTTTGAAAGTAAACTCCGTACTAGCAGCATGATACAGTATATACTGCCGCTTTACATTTCGTCTATATGTAATTAATTAGAGCAAGTTAATAACCCATAAAAATGTCTGAGGTGTTGCGTTGTCAGGTAACTAGCATGAAAGTGTTGACGCTAAGCAGATGATAGAGTTAAAAATTATTTCATGAAAAATAGTATTTTAGTTTTTCTAATTTCTTCTTCTTCTTCTTCTTAAAAGAAAAAAAAACGGTAAATTGGAACTTACAAATGCCAAAATCAATCAAATCTTTTCTCATTTTTAAGAAAATGAATGAGCTTCGTGTAAGCTTAGTTTACATAATTTTTGTTTAACAGTGTTCTTGAGGACACACGGATGTTATAGACACGTAAAAGAACATGAAGTTGATTTAACCCAAGATAACCAAACATGGTAAGACACTGTGATTTATTTTTGATCAGAAGAGACATCCACTAATTATTATTTTGCAGAAACCAGTTTGATTAATGAAACTGGCACATGATAACTTACACAGGCTAACATGAACTTTAAAAATGATAAGAAGATGAATTTTCCAGTTATTGCAGAGAACCCAACAAAATTTGTGCCTACACAGCCTAAACCTTCCAACCATTTCATACGATGCGTCAACCATTAAAGATTTATGCTGCTCATAGACTTTGTGTGGAATTTAAAGTACTCTGCTACATGTCTTTTCCATGTAACCTGGAGTATGGAGACCTCATAACACAATACTTCTTCTCTCCCTCCTGGCAGGAACACAGTGTTGGGGGTGATCAACATGGAAGATGGACAGTTGTACAACTTTTCGATGATAATCATCCAGGTAATCCTGTGGCTGGGTCTGCTGCTGCTGTTGTCGCTGGGCAAGACCTGGCGTACCGGAGTGGTCTCCAAACTGTGGTCTCTAGTTACCATAGCTATGCTGTTCGCTCTCACGATCCAGGGACTCACAATAGACCAGAGTGGCTCAGGTCTTCGCTTCGTCTTCAAGTGGAAGGGGGACGACCTGAATGAGCCAGATATCTGGCTGGACGCTTTTGGCCAGGTAGAGACATCTATCAAGTTAGCTTAAACACACACACACACACACACACACACACACACACACTCACACACACACACACACACACACACACACACACACACACACACACACACACACACACACACAGAGGAATGAATGGAATGTGCAAAAGGGACTACTTAGTAGGAACAATCCAGTCTGAGGGCCATAAAGTGGAAATTGCAGTAATGTACAATCCACCACAGAACTACAGGAGACCAAAAGAAGAATACGACGAGAGCAACACACCAGTCGAAGTGGCCAGAAGAGCTCACATGGAGGGGAGGGGGAGCAAAGTTACTAGTTATGGGTGATTTCTATCACAAGGAGATCGACTAGGAAAACCAAGATCCCCATGGGGGTCCCAAAACATGGAGAGCCAAGATGGTGAATGTGGTACTGGAAAACCTCATGTATTAATATGTTAAAGACACTACCAGAGAGAGAGGTGAGGACGATCCAGCAAGAATGGATCTTGAATTCACTTTGAGTAGTTCGGACATCGATGATATCACGTATGAAAGGCCCCTTGGAGCTAGTGATCATGTGGTTCTGTGCTTTGATTACATAGTTGAGCTACAAGTGGAGAGAGCAGCAGGAATAGGACGGGAAAACCAAACTACAAAAAGAGGGACTACACAGGCATGAGGAACTTCCTACAAGACTTTCAGTGGGGGAGAGAACTGGCAGGAAAACCAGTAAAAGAAACGATGGTCTATGTGACAACAAAATGCAAGAATGCAGAGGAAAGGTTTGTTCCCAAGGGAAACAGAAATAATGGGAGAACCAGAACGAGTCACTGGTTCACCCAAAGGTGTAGGAAGACAAAAACTAGGTGCACTAGAGAATGGAAAAGGTACAGAAGACAGAGAACTCAGGAAAATAAAGAGATCAACCGTAGAACCAGAAACGAATATGCACAGTTAAGAAGGGAGGCTCAGCAAGAATACGAAAATGACATAGCAACGAAAGTCAAGTCTGACCTGAAGCGGTTGTATAGCCACATCAGGAGGAAAACAACAGTCAAGGACCAGGTAATCAGGCTGAGGAAGGATGGTGGGGAGTTCACAAGAAACGATCAAGAGGTATGTGAGGAGCTCAACATGAGATTTAAAGAAGTATTTACAGTGGAAACAGGTAGGATTCCAGGAATTCAGAACAGGGAGGTATACCAACAAGTGCTGGATGAGGTACACATAACCGAGGAGGAGGTGAAGAAGCTGCTATGTGAACTTGATACCTCAAAGGCGGTGGGACCAGACAACATCTCTCCGTGGGTCCTTAGAGAGGAAGCAGAGATGAGGCGTGTGCCACTAACAAAGATTTTCAACACATCCATTGAAAGTGGGCAACTACCTGAGGTATGGAAGATAGCAAATGTAGTCCCAATTTTTAAAAAAAGGAGACAGACACGAGGCATTAAACTAAAGACCTGTGTCACTAACGTGCATAGTACGCAAATGGAGATCGGCAGGAGGAGAGTGGTGGAGCACCTGGAAAGAAACAAGCATATAAACGACAGCCAGCACGGTTTCAGGGAAGGAAAATCCTGTGTCACAAACCTACTGGAGTTTTATGACAAGGTGACACAGTTCCTCACAAGAAGTTAATGCAAGAGCTAGAGGATCAGGCACACATAACAGGAAAGGCACTGCAGTGGATCAAAGAATATCTGAAAGGGAGGAAACAACGAGTCATGATACGTGACGAGGTGTCAGAGTGGGCGCCTGTGACAAGCCGGGCTCCACAGGGGTCAGTCCTAGGACCTGTGCTTTTTTGGTATATGTGAACGACATAACGGAAGGGATAGACTCATAAGTATCCTTGTTTGCGGATGATGTGAAGTTAATGAGGAGAATTAAATCGGTCGATGATCAGGCAGGACTACGAAGAGATCTGGACAGGCTACAAGCCTGGTTCCAGCAACTGGCTCCTTGAAATTAACCCTGCCAAATGCAAACTCATGAAGATCGGGGAAGGGCAAAGAAGACCGCAGACAGAGTATACTCTAGGTGGCCAAAGACTGTAAACCTCACTCAAGAATAACGATCTTGGGGTGAGTATAATACCGAGCACATATCCTGAGGCGCACATCAATGAGATAATTGCTGCAGCATATGGGCGTCTGGCAAACCTACGGATAGCGTTCCGATACCTCAGTAAGGAATCGTTCAAGACTCTGTATACCATTTACGTCAGGCCCATACTGGAGTATGCGGCACCAGTTTGGAATCCACACCTGGTCAAGCACGTCAAGAAATTAGAGAAAGTACAAAGGTTTGCAACAAGACTAGTCCCAGAGCTAAGGAGATTGTCCTACGAAGAAAGGTTGAGGGAAATCGGCCTGACGACACTGGAGGGCAGAAGGGTCAGGGGAGACATGATAACGACATATAAAATACTGCGCAGAATAGACAAGGTGGACAAAGACAGGATGTTCCAGAGATGGGACACATAAACAAGAGGTCACAATTGGAAGTTGAAGACTCAGATGAATCAAAGGGATGTTAGGAAGTATTTCTTCAGTCATAGAGTAGTCAGGCCGTGGAATAGCCTAGAAAGTGACGTAGTGGAGGCGGGAACCATACATAGTTTTAAGGCGAGGTTTGATAAAGCTCATGGAGCAGGGAGAGGACCTAGTAGCAATCAGTGAAGAGGTGGGGCCAGGAGCTATGAATCGACCCCTGCAACCACAAATAGGTGAGTACACACACACACACACATACCTAGTAGCGATCAGTGAAGAGGCGGGGCCAGGAGCTCGGACTCGACCCCCGCAACCTCAACTAGGTGAGTACACACACACACACACACACACACACACACACACACACACAACTCAGATCTGTACAACACTATTGTCCTCAAAGATTTGTTAAATTATACCAACAGTTAAGGAAAGATGCTAGACTTCACTTTACAAAACAGACAAAACAAATGTGATAATAATCATGGACAAGATAGATTATAGTGGGAAATTTAAAATATTATTCGAAGACGGGTATTTACGTGCCCCTTAAAGGGAATAAAAAGCTACATCATTTTAGATATAAATAAAAAATTGTACCTACACACTTGATCTCAGTCTCCGCCTTCGTCGAATTATGAGGCGCCTTGTTTATGTTTGAGGGTCCTGGAAGTTACCCGAGCTATACCAGGATGCTGGGAATGTCTTCAACAACTTTGCTCATACGGGACCTTCACATGCTAATTCTTAGAAGAATTTTGCCCGTATAAACATCGAGTAGGTTGGTAGACAGCAACCACCCAGGGAAGTACTACCGTCCTGCCAGATGACTGTGAAACAGAAACCTGTAATTGTTTTGCATGATGGTAGGATTGCTGGTTTCTTTTTCTGTCTCATAAACACGCTAGATAACAGGGATATCTTGCTACTCCTACTTACACTTTGGTCACACTTCACAGACACGCACATGCATATATATATACATACATCTAGGTTTTTCTCCTTTTTCTAAATAGCTCTTGTTCTTCTTTATTTTTTCTATTGTCCATGGGGAAGTGGAAAAGAATCTTTCCTCCGTAAGCCATGCGTGTCGTATGAGGCGACTAAAATGCCGGGAGCAATGGGCTAGTAACCCCTTCTCCTGTAGACATTTACTAAAAAAGAGAAGAAGAAAAACTTTATAAAACTGGGATGCTTAAATGTGCGTGGATGTAGTGCAGATGACAAGAAACAGATGACTGCTGATGTTATGAATGAAAAGAAGTTGGATGTCCTGGCCCTAAGCGAAACAAAGCTTAAGGGGGTAGGGGAGTTTCAGTGGGGGGAAATAAATGGGATTAAATCTGGAGTATCTGAGAGAGTTAGAGCAAAGGAAGGGGTAGCAGTAATGTTAAATGATCAGTTATGGAAGGAGAAAAGAGAATATGAATGTGTAAATTCAAGAATTATGTGGATTAAAGTAAAGGTTGGATGCGAAAAGTGGGTCATAATAAGCGTGTATGCACCTGGAGAAGAGAGGAATGTAGAGGAGAGAGAGAGATTTTGGGAGATGTTAAGTGAATGTATAGGAGCCTTTGAACCAAGTGAGAGAGTAATTGTGGTAGGGGACCTGAATGGTAAAGTAGGAGAAACTTTTAGAGAGGGTGTGGTAGGTAAGTTTGGGGTGCCAGGTGTAAATGGTAATGGGAGCCCTTTGATTGAACTTTGTATAGAAAGGGGTTTAGTTATAGGTAATACATATTTTAAGAAAAAGAGGATAAATAAGTATACAAGATATGATGTAGGGCGAAATGACAGTAGTTTGTTGGATTATGTATTGGTAGATAAAAGACTGTTGAGTAGACTTCAGGATGTACATGTTTATAGAGGGGCCACAGATATATCAGATCACTTTTTAGTTGTAGCTACACTGAGAGTAAAAGGTAGATGGGATACAAGGAGAATAGAAGCATCAGGTAAGAGAGAGGTGAAGGTTTATAAACTAAAAGAGGAGGCAGTTAGGGTAAGATATAAACAGCTATTGGAGGATAGATGGGCTAATGAGAGCATAGGCAATGGGGTCGAAGAGGTATGGGGTAGGTTTAAAAATGTAGTGTTAGAGTGTTCAACAGAAGTTTGTGGTTACAGGAAAGTGGGTGCGGGAGGGAAGAGGAGCGATTGGTGGAATGATGATGTAAAGAGAGTAGTAAGGGAGAAAAAGTTAGCATATGAGAAGTTTTTACAAAGTAGAAGTGATGCAAGGAGGGAAGAGTATATGGAGAAAAAGAGAGAGGTTAAGAGAGTGGTGAAGCAATGTAAAAAGAGAGCAAATGAGAGAGTGGGTGAGATGTTATCAACAAATTTTGTTGAAAATAAGAAAAAGTTTTGGAGTGAGATTAACAAGTTAAGAAAGCCTAGAGAACAAATGGATTTGTCAGTTAAAAATAGGAGAGGAGAGTTATTAAATGGAGAGTTAGAGGTATTGGGAAGATGGAGGGAATATTTTGAGGAATTGTTAAATGTTGATGAAGATAGGGAAGCTGTGATTTCGTGTATAGGACAAGGAGGAATAACATCTTGTAGGAGTGAGGAAGAGCCAGTTGTGAGTGTGGGGGAAGTTCGTGAGGCAGTAGGTAAAATGAAAGGGGGTAAGGCAGCCGGGATTGATGGGATAAAGATAGAAATGTTAAAAGCAGGTGGGGGTATAGTTTTGGAGTGGTTGGTGCAATTATTTAATAAATGTATGGAAGAGGGTAAGGTACCTAGGGATTGGCAGAGAGCATGCATAGTTCCTTTGTATAAAGGCAAAGGGGATAAAAGAGAGTGCAAAAATTATAGGGGGATAAGTCTGCTGAGTATACCTGGTAAAGTGTATGGTAGAGTTATTATTGAAAGAATTAAGAGTAAGACGGAGAATAGGATAGCAGATGAACAAGGAGGCTTTAGGAAAGGTAGGGGGTGTGTGGACCAGGTGTTTACAGTGAAACATATAAGTGAACAGTATTTAGATAAGGCTAAAGAGGTCTTTGTGGCATTTATGGATTTGGAAAAGGCGTATGACAGGGTGGATAGGGGGGCAATGTGGCAGATGTTGCAAGTGTAAGGTGTAGGAGGTAGGTTACTGAAAGCAGTGAAGAGTTTTTACGAGGATAGTGAGGCTCAAGTTAGAGTATGTAGGAAAGAGGGAAATTATTTCGCAGTAAAAGTAGGCCTTAGACAAGGATGTGTGATGTCACCGTGGTTGTTTAATATATTTATAGATGGGGTTGTAAGAGAAGTAAATGCGAGGGTCTTGGCAAGAGGCGTGGAGTTAAAAGATAAAGAATCACATGCAAAGTGGGAGTTGTCACAGCTGCTCTTTGCTGATGACACTGTGCTCTTGGGAGATTCTGAAGAGAAGTTGCAGAGATTGGTGGATAAATTTGGTAGGGTGTGCAAAAGAAGAAAATTAAAGGTGAATACAGGAAAGAGTAAGGTTATGAGGATAACAAAAAGATTAGGTGATGAAAGATCGAATATCAGATTGGAGGGAGAGAGTATGGAGGTGAATGTATTCAGATATTTGGGAGTGGACGTGTCAGCGGATGGGTCTATGAAAGATGAGGTGAATCATAGAATTGATGAGGGTAAAAGAGTGAGTGGTGCACTTAGGAGTCTGTGGAGATAAAGAACTTTGTCCTTAGAGGCAAAGAGGGGAATGTATGAGAGTATAGTTTTACCAATGCTCTTATATGGGTGTGAAGCATGAGTGATGAATGTTGCAGCGAGGAGAAGGCTGGAGGCAGTGGAGATGTCATGTCTGAGGGCAATGTGTGGTGTGAATATAATGCAGAGAATTCGTAGTTTGGAAGTTAGGAGGAGGTGCGGGATTACCAAAACTGTTGTCCAGAGGGCTGAGGAAGGGTTGTTGAGGTGGTTTGGACATGTAGAGAGAATGGAGCGAAACAGAATGACTTCAAGAGTGTATCAGTCTGTAGTGGAAGGAAGGCGGGGTAGGGGTCGGCCTAGGAAAGGTTGGAGAGTGGGGGTATAGGAGGTTTTGTGTGCGAGGGGCTTGGACTTCCAGCAGGCATGCGTGAGCGTGTTTGATAGGAGTGAATGGAAACAAATGGTTTTTAATCCTTGACGTGCTGTTGGAGTGTGAGCAAAGTAACATTTATGAAGGGGTTCAGGGAAACCGGCAGGCCGGACTTGAGTCCTGGAGGGGTGTTAATGTTGCAGTTTAAGAACTGTAGTGTAAAGCACCCTTCTGGCAAGACAGTGATGGAGTGAATGATGGTGAAAGTTTTTCTTTTTCGGGCCACCCTGCCTTGGTGGGAATCGGCCAGTGTGATAATAAATAATAAAAATAAACATCGAGATTATGAAGCCAGTTGGATCTGCCATTTTTTTATTTACCTGGAGTTTCGGGTTTTCCAGAAAGCAAAAAAAAAAAAAATCATATCTCTTAAGGGGCTCTTAATATAAAGAACTGGAAATAACCTCATCTTCCTCGGATCAAATCTTATTACCTCCCACTCCCAAGGCACTGTGTGACCCTTATGGGTTTAGATCTTCCCCACTAATATAATAAAGGGCGACGCAGGTAAGGTTGAAGAGATATAATAATCAGAGGTTACCAGCTGTGCTGTTATGGCTGGAATATATATATATATATATATATATATATATATATATATATATATATATATATATATATATATATATATATATATATATATATATATACTGACTTTGTTGTTTTTCTGCAGATCGTTTGGTCCCTGGGACCCACGCTGGGCCTACTTATATCCAGGGCCAGCTACAAGGGCTTCAGGGAAAGAGTGAGTACCTCTATTCAGTATACTATTTTCCATCAGATGAAACATTTATTATCACACACACACACATCACCTGTTTGTGGTTAAGGGGAAGTTTTGAGTGATAGAGCCGGCCCTACGATCACTGGTAGCTGCCTGTCACATACCCTGCTCCAGAGTGATTATCATACACACAACACCTAGCAGTAGTAGGAAGATAAAATTTGTAGGAGCAAGGAATAGGCAGGAGGAGTAAGTTGGGCCCAATAGGACTACAGCCCTGACAACAGTTTTAAGAGATAAGGTTTTAAGGCACAAAGACAGTACAATCTGAGAAGCAAGTATTGGGTACACATGTAGTATAAGGTAGTACACAACTGGGCGAAAGACTCTTTAACACACACTAGTATTATAATTATTAGAATTACTCTCAGTATTAATGGTATTTTATTAGTATTATGGATACATATAGGTGAGGTGTATTTCTGGGATATATGATCAACTGACGTGCTCACACACACACATGCGTGCACACACACACATACACACACACACACACACACACACACACACACACACACACACACACACACACACACACACACACACACACACACACACACATGGTACGTGGCGAGGTGTCAGAGTGGGAACCTGTGACCAGCGGGGTCCCGCAGGGGTCAGTCCTAGGACCAGTGCTGTTTCTGGTATTTGTGAACGACATGACGGAAGGAATAGACTCTGAGGTGTCCCTGTTTGCAGATGACGTGAAGTTGATGAGAAGAATACACTCGATCGAAGACCAGGCAGAACTACAAAGGGATCTGGACAGGCTGCAGACCTGGTCCAGCAATTGGCTCCTGGAGTTCAATCCCACCAAGTGCAAAGTCATGAAGATTGGGGAAGGGCAAAGAAGGCCGCAGACGGAGTACAGTCTAGGGGGTCAGAGACTACAAACCTCACTCAAGGAAAAAGATCTTGGTGTGAGTATAACACCAAGCACATCTCCTGAAGCGCACATCAACCAAATAACTGCTGCAGCATATGGGCGCCTAGCAAACCTCAGAACAGCATTCCGACATCTTAATAAGGAATCATTCAGGACCCTGTACACCGTGTATGTTAGGCCCATATTGGAGTATGCGGCACCAGTTTGGAACCCACACCTAGCCAAGCACGTGAAGAAACTAGAGAAAGTGCAAAGGTTTGCAACAAGACTAGTCCCAGAGCTAAGAGGTATGTCCTACGAGGAGAGGTTAAGGGAAATCAACCTGACGACACTGGAGGACAGGAGAGATAGGGGGGACATGATAACGACATACAAAATACTGAGAGGAATTGACAAGGTGGACAAAGACAGGATGTTCCAGAGATTGGACACAGTAACAAGGGGACACAATTGGAAGCTGAAGAACAGATGAATCACAGAGATGTTAGGAAGTATTTCTTCAGCCACAGAGTAGTCAGTAAGTGGAATAGTTTGGGAAGCGATGTAGTGGAGGCAGGATCCATACATAGCTTTAAGCAGAGGTATGATAAAGCTCACGGCTCAGGGAGAGTGACCTAGTAGCGATCAGTGAAGAGGCGGGGCCAGGAGCTCGGACTCGACCCCCGCAACCTCAACTAGGTGAGTACAACTAGGTGAGTACACATCACACACACACACACACACACACACACACACACACTCGGGGCCAGGAGCTGAGTCTCGACCCTTGAAACCACAACTAGGTGAGTACACACACACACCCACACAGCTACCCTTGGATTTCGACCGCGTCCCCCCACCTCTCCCCCTCTCTCTCCCACCCTCCTCTTCAGCTTCTCTCCCTCCCTCTTTCTATCTTTCTCTCTCCTCCTCCCTCGCGTTCCACCACCCTCTCCCCTCTCTCTCCCACCCTCCTCTTCAGCCTTCTCTCCCCTCCCTCTTTCTATCTTTCTCTCTCCCCTCCCTCGCATTTCTCTCTCTCATAGCCTTTTCCCTCACCCTCCTCTCTCCCTCTCTCTCTATCTCTCTCTCTCTCTTTCTCTCTCCCTCTCTCTACCCTTTCTCTCCCCCCTCTCGTTTCTCTCTCTCCCTCCCTAGTCTTATCCCTCACCCCCATCCTCCCTCCTCTCTCTCCCTCTTTCTACCTTTTAACTCTCCCCCTCTTACTCTCTCTCTCCCTCCTCTAGCCTTCCCCTTCTTATTTTCTCTCTCTCTCTCCTTGTCCCTTGTCGCCTTGTCCCTCTTCCCCCCACACACACACCCTGAAAACACATAAACTTTTCTCTGTGGTAAAATACATAAGCTTCTTTCTGTGGTAATAAAAAAAAATGGGTGGCCCTAGAGGGCGGAAAACCAGAGATCTGGTGGACGAACCAGGGAGGAAAGATTGGGAGTTAGAGCTCAAAAAAAGGGAGGAAGAGTGGGGAAGGAAGACAGAAGAGCTTGGCAAGATAATGCAGGAGCTGATAGCTGAAGAATGCAGGAAGTGGGAGCTACAAGTCTTAGCAGCAGAAACTAGGATACAGTGCTTAGAAGAGAAACTGGGAAACCTTAAACAGATTAGACAAATGACAATTCAAATGCAACAACAGGAAATTCTATGTCAGGCACAGACAAGGGGATGGTAAGAAACAAAGGAGATATGCCATACGCGAAGGCCCTATCAGACCCACGTGGGGCCAGGGAAAAGATGAGGAGCATACTAAGATCAAATGACAGGTCCAAAGACAATGAAGGTATGTTATATGCAGAGACTCTAACAGCCAACTGCAGTAGCAAGGAACAGCTGATCATGAAAGACAGTTCTCTGAGAATAGAAGTTTCAGATAGGGCAGGGACGGAAGGCAAGAACATTTCAATGGAAGGAAACAAAATACCTCAGAGGATGCAAATGGAGACTCAGTGGGAGGAGGAAAGGGAGAGGTCAGTTTTTATCTACAAGCTCCAAGAAGCCAAGGGGGACAATTTCGAAGAAATAAAGCAGGAGGAGGAAAAAAATGTTGAAGGCATCATGAAAACAATAGGTAAGGACGATATGACCCAGGTGACAAATTTTCGGAGAATTGGGTGGTTTGCGAGTGGAAGGATACGGCCTGTCAAAGTAATTTTCAAGGAAGAATCAGTTCGAACCAGGATTCTGCAAGAGAAAGCACGACTGAGGGACAAACAGGGGTACCAGAGAGTATACCTCAATCGCAACAGAACACAAGAAGAAAGGACTACACTGAAAGAGAGGGTACAGAGATGCAAGGAGGAACGAGAGGCAATGATGAAGATGAGTAGGACCCAGACACAGGAGGAAGGGCAAACACACCCCGCAGAATCTCCCACTGAAAGACTTCAACCGCGACAATCCCAACACAACTGAGCAACCCAAACCACAACCCACTCACTGTTCCCTCTTCCAGCAACACCCACATCACAAACCTCGCCTCAACAGCTGTCCCTAATGGGCATTCTGACCCCACCCCCATCATCACAAACCCCACCTACACCACAGCCCCCCATAGGCCCCCACCAAAGTTCCCACTCCCCCAACCCCAATATTCTTGCAGGACCACAGTGATAGAAAAGAAGCTGAAAGTTTGGTACACAAACGCTGATAGAATAATGAATAAACATGAGTGGTACGAAAGAATCAGCGAGAAATCCCCAGACATCATAGCAGTCACAGAAACAAAACTTGCTGAGACAATAACAGATGCAATCTTCCCACAGGGATATCAGATCCTGAGAAAAGATAGGAGTAGTGGGGGAGGAGGAGTTGCACTGTTCATAGAAAACCGATGGGGATTTGAGGAAATGGAAGGCATGGACGTGATTGGAGAAAGAGACTACATAGAAGGTACAATTCAGTCTGGAGAACATAAAGTAGTCATTGGAGTGATGTATAACCCACCACAGAACTGCAGGAGACCAAGAGAGGAGTACAAAGAAAACAACAGGGTGATGGTGGACACACTGGCTGAGGTGGCAAGAAGAGCTCACTCGAGCAGAGCAAAGTGACTGGTAATGGGGGATTTCAACCACAGGGAAATCGACTGGGAAAACCTGGAGCCACATGGGGGTCCCAAAACATGGAAAGCCAAGATGATGGATGTGGTACTTGAAAACCTCATGCATCAACATGTCAGGGACACTACCAGAGAGAGAGGGGAGGATGAGCCAGCAAGACTGGATCTTGTGTTCACCCTGAGCAGTTCAGACATTGAGGACATCACTTACGAGAGGTCCCTTGGAGCTAGCGATCATGTGGTTCTGAGTTTTGATTATATAGTAGAGTTACAAGTGGAGAAGGTAACAGGAACTGAATGGGAAAAGCCAAACTACAAAAGGGAGGACTACACAAGTATGAGGAACTTCCTGCAGGAGGTTCAGTGGGACAGAGACCTGGTAGGAAAATCAGTAAACGGGATGATGGAATATGTAGCAACAAAGTGCAAGGAGGCAGAGGAAAGGTTTGTTCCCAAGGGAAACAGAAATAATAGGAAGACCAAAGCGAGTCCTTGGTTTACCCGAAGGTGTAGGGAGGCAAAAACTAAGTGCATCAGAGAATGGAAAAGGTACAGGAGGAAAAGGACCCAGGAAAACAAGGAGATTAGTAGAAGAGCCAGAAACGAGTATGCACAGATAAGGAGGGAGGCCCAGCGACAGTACGAAAAAGACATAGCATCGAAAGTCAAGTCTGACCCAAAACTGCTGTATAGCCACATTAGGAGGAAGACAACAGTCAAAGACCAGGTGATAAGGCTGAGGAAAGAAGGTGGAGAACTCACAAGAAACGAACAAGAGGTATGTGAGGAGCTCAACATGAGATTTAAGGAAGTATTTACAGTGGAGACAGGAAGGCCTCTCGGGGGACAGACCAGATGGGGACACCAGCAAGGAATATACCAACAGGTGTTGGATGACATACATACAGATGAGGAGGTGAGGAAACTGCTAAGGGATATCGATACCTCAAAGGCAATGGGACCGGACAACGTCTCCTCGTGGGTTCTTAGAGAGGGAGCGGATATGTTGTGTGTGCCACTTA